CAGGGAATGGCCACCAGGCTCACGTACCTGGTGCTCACACAGGCTGTGTCCATCTGCTGCCTGCACCCTCACTGCTATCACCTGCCTGAGAGCTCGGTGCCGCTTTAGAGAACTGTGGAATTGTTCAGGTTGGAAAAGACTTCCAAGGTCCCCAACCCATCCCTCAGTGCCGCATCCCCACAGATCTGGAACGCCTCCGGGGATGGGACCCCTTCATTCCAATTCCAATTGGGTAATTCCAATCCCTGACTGCTCTTTCCTGTTCTCCACTTACCCCTTCCTGGCATGGCCTCACGCTGTGCCCCTGGCCATGCAGATCCCCACCCCTGGGGCACTGCTGCAGTGTGTGGGCACACAGTGCTGGTCTGAGGGAAATGCAAATCCAGGGCAATCACCTGGAGCAGCAGCAAAGCGAGAGGTGATGAAACCCAATCAGTTAATAACACTTCATGGCAGCAAAAGATTTGCAGATGATCTTTGTTTGTTTGTTTTTCCTGTCCTTGTCTTAACTATTCCTCTGGAGTTCTCCAGGAAGAAATCTCGTGCCCATGAGCCCAAAGGTTTCCAGGCCCCCGATGCCAGCTGGGTCTTGGCATGATGGTGATGGGTCAGTGGTTGGACTCACTGATCTCAGTGGTCGTCGTCTTTAACGACTGTAGGACGCTGGGCACTGCGGTGCTGCACGTGGCAGTGAGGGACGGTGGCAGGTTCCTGAGCTGGCATGGAAATGATATAATTGCACTTTGCAAGCAGTAACTGCATAATTTTAGTTGCTCAGCGTGTTGCTTGTTAAGACATCTTTCCCCTTTCTGCACTAATTTGCATTGCACGGCAGGGTTCGTCGTGTGGAGCCAACATTGCTGCTGGGTGCAGGTCCTTGGCCGGGCTCGGGGGTCAGCTCAGATCCTGCGTGCGCCCTTGGGAGGTGCGTGGCACTGAGGGGGCTTCTGCCACACGCCCCTGAAAGCCGGAGCCCTGCGTTGTTGGGCTGTGGATAGCTGTCCCTGGGGGGGGGGGCAGCTGCAGCCCCGGCCCCGCGGTGCTCAGCAGGCTGTGCCGGCCGCTCGGCGGGCGCTGAGCTGCAGCCAGAACTGATCTCACTTAAGGCTTTGCAAAGCCGCGGATAATGCACTGCGAGAGTGAACAACTGGGATGAAAAATAATTGCACTCCTATTTTTCTCCAGCTTTTCTTATCAATGACTTTATCACCTCTGGTTTTATTTTACACCTTATTTAGACTTTACTGTAATCCCAGCTATTTCACCATTGACACCTCCTTAATACCTTGTCTAACACCTCTGACACCTCTGGCTAATGCCCAGGCCCTTCTGCAGCACCGAGCAGCTCCAGAAGCAACAGAAAAGAGCTGAAATGGAGAGAGAAAAATTATTTACTGCTCCCTCTCTGTGAATAATGGGCTGTGAGGAGGGAGGGCGGGGGGTGAGCCCCCCCAGCCACTGAACTCACCCCACATCGGTCTGTAAGGGGCACTCGGGGCTGCTGGGAGATGTGCAGCAAGTGTTAGGCAGAGAGAAGAGGCAAGGATTTATTGTTGGAGAGAAGCTGCAAACGGTAAAGGCTTGGTGAGTTGAAGCAAATGAATTCCCCTCACTTAGGCACCCTGTGCTGAGCCCAGCTCTATGCACAGCCCTTGGCCTCGCGCTCCCTGCAGGAGCCAGCCCTTGTGCGCTGCCAGTTGTCCACGTGCCACCTCCCGCTGCCCACGTCCCATCGCCCAGAGGTAACAGCGCTGTGGGTTTTGGTTTTTCTCCCCCCTAATCTTTGAACCTAAAGGCTATTGCTACATTACCTAGATTTAACTACTCATTACACAAACTGTATCTCTAAAGTGAGGGATATGGCAGCTTTATTATAAGTTTATTTCATGCTAATTCAAGCAAATAAATTTGCTCCAGCTGTGGAGCAAAGGAGATTAATAACCTCGAAGATCACTCTGCTGCTTTGATGAGTTTCTTGAACAGAGTAGAGTACATTGAGGAAGAGCAACTAGATTAGTCCAAAAACCCCTTTAATTATTAGTGACACTGTGCAAACTGCTTCATACGAGTGGAATACCAACTACTTAACTCCTGACCTTATTATTCAAATAAACACTTCTCATTATAGCAACATGACTTGCTCGTCAACACCTCCCATCAGCTGCCTGGCGTTGGGTCTGAATGTCCCCTGCTGTGTCAGCAGGGAGCATACGGCCCTCGTTAGGAGCACAATGGCCTTAAGGGTGCCGGCGCTCGGGGGGGCGATGGGTGCAGGCAGTGCTGTGTGCTGGATGGAGGGCTGCGCTTCGCTGGGATGGGCTGAGCGTTCCTGTTCTTACCCTGCCTTCCTTGGAGGTGGTCTGGCAGTGCGTCACCCTTAGCTGCAGTCCTCCACCCCAGTGCATGGAGCGGTGCCTCCGGCCGCGTGGAGCAGACCCTGAGTGCGATGGGCGCCGCTCTGCTGCTCTGGGACCCGGCCCTGCCATAAGGCAGCCCTTCTGTTCTATGTAGAGCAAGCAGAAATGATGTGTTAAATACAGCCCGGGCTGCAGCTCTGAATCAAATCAATTCTTTTTTGATTCCCTGAGCTTTTGAATGTTCAGCCCTGCTGAAGAATTGTTAGCAGAAGAATGGGGCTGAAGGAGCAATCCTTGCGTATCGCTATTGACTCAATTATTTTGCCTCTTGATTTTCTATGAAGCGGCCGCAATGCCATGCCGATATGCTGATTGCTAATGGCTCAGCATTGTTAGTGCTGGCTCCCAGCGGAATGCCTTCATCTCTGCGCTCCCCAAGGGCAGCATCTGGGACCGCGTTTTATTGTGAGTGATGCAAACTGCGGCACACAGAGGGATGTGTGGAGGGGCAGAGATGGGCGCTGTGCTGCTGACCTTCCTCTGCTCGAGATTCCTGGTGCTGCTGTGCACAGGTCGATGTGGCAGAAGGAGGAGAGGGTGCACTTGCAGTGTCACCATCGTCACTACTGGCAGTGCTGGAGTCCGAGAGCCCCTGCATTACTGGGACCAAGCCGGGGGTCCAAGTTAGTGGGGCTGCAGGGGACAGAACAGGGCAGCCACAGCCCCATCCGGATTTGCTCTTTTGTGACAAAAAAGTGTTTCCCACCTATAGAAGGTGCTGAGATAATGGAAACAAGTGCTTTGGATCTCTGGATAAAAAGCGCAGAGGAGGAACAAAACACTGCCTGGCTTTGATGATGCAAAGCCCTGTGCAAGTCCTGTGTGTTTCTATTAGTGGCTCAAACGCACCCCAGGCAAAAGACAAAAAGACAGAGACAGATATGTGCTTTCTCGTGCCTGCTATTCTTGCTGGTGTTTACATTGTGTATCAGGAGCCTATGCGTTTGGGAGGAGGATTGGAATGGGACTGGGACCCATGGAACAGTGTCAGGCCTTGAGCACTGCCCCCTGTGCATGGGGACACCTGAGGAGGGAGCCAGGAGCTCCGGGGGAAGAGCAGCTTTCTATTTCAGCAACACTCGAAAACACCTTGGGTGCATCGCTGTCAGGAGAGGGAAGAAAAAGCCCAAAATCAATATGAAATGATGATTTCAATTGGAGCCATTTTCAAAGCTGTCAGGAGCTGCGAGTGAAGTGCAGTAACTGGAAAGGAAAAACACTTATTCAGACTCCTTTTGGAAAACAGAGCCCTCCCCATGCTGCTCCTGAGCAGAGCAGTTCTCCAGTCCCATCCGGTGCTGCTCTGCTCCCAAGGATGGGGCTGTGGGAGCTGGGGCAGCTGTGGCACCGCTGCACAGCAGATCTGGGGGGGATCTGAGCCACCCTTTGTGTGATGCCTCAAGTGCTGACTCTGTAATGCCATCTCCCCACACCTGGCTTAGGGCAGGGGGTTGCTTGGTTAATGCACGTCTCCATCTTCATTGCCTTTTTAACTCGTTTTTAATCAGTAATTATTATTGAACAGGAGCGACACGCAGGCTTCTCTCACCCGCTCCCCAGGCGAGTGCCAGCCAATATGTCACAGCAATTAGTGCCTGGTGGCAATGGGACACGGGATGGCCACTGCCACCCTCCCACTCTGGCTCGTGGATGTTGGATCCTCCATTTACCAGCTCAGGTCCAACCCCAGCACACTTGCAATTAACTGCTCATGTCTTATGGTATGTAATGCGGCTGAATGTGGGATGCTGGGGGGATCTGGGGCTTTGTCCATGGACGCACAGTCACAGCCCTCCTGGGGCACTGCTGTCGTGTGCCCAGATGCCCTGCGGAACAAATGGGCTTTAAAACTGCCCCATTGTGTTATTCCTTATTAATAACGGGGCGGCCCTTGTAAATAGCCATGAAGGGAAGTGCTTAAGCTCATAATTAGTAAGTGCTGGATTGGCTTCTGCTGCTGAGCCGCAGCCTGCAGGGAGCGGCGGTGGCGGGGATCCCAAATCCAGGATCCCATCTCCAGGGGGTTCCAGCTCCAGGGTCTCAACTCGAGGATCCCATCTTTGGAGAGTCCCAGCTCCAGGTCCCTGTGGCCGGGCAGTGGAGGATGGGGGCACTGAGAGCTCAGAGCACGACTGACTTACAGACCCTGCACTGAGGCTCAGCCATAAACGCTTTATGCCAGGAGTAGAGGGACGCAAATCATGTTTATGTCCCTTGTTCTCTTTATCGGGACACTGATTTGACAGAGAAGGGAAATTTCCGCTTATTTTACAACTCTGGTTTTAGCTGCAAATTGATTTCAATAGCTGGGAGGCGAACACAAAATCTTATTTTGTCGGTGTAGAAATGTACATTTTGACACAGACCCTGTTGTGTAGAAGGAGTGGAGCTCTGGGCATCACCCCCCCCCACCCACCCTGCACTCATTGTTCAGAGATGTTTGCTGAACGATGGTGATGTGGCTGCTCTCCCTGTCCTGCCCCCACCCCACACACTGCAGCCTCCTCCCCCCCCTTCGCTCCCAGCCCAGATCCGAGCGCTCCCTGCCCCCTCTGCCAGCCCCAAACGACAGGGACAAGGAGATCTGTTCAAAACAGTTTATTGTATTTTTTTGTCAGACAAACACATTGATTTCTGGACCACAGTAGAGGATGGAAACCTTTCACAAACTTATTTATTTGAAAATACAAATATAAAATTATACTTTCCACATCTGTGATGTGAGAGACCCCCATCCACATAGTATTTTACAACAGGGCTTCAGAAAGCCATACACAGAGACCTGAAAGATGCTTGATATATATAGATACATATATATATGTATATATATAAAAAAAAAGTCACTACCAAAGTTCTCATCAGTTCATACTAAAGTATAAAAGGAAGGGCTAGGCTCGCCACTGTGCCATAGTGTATTTAGGTACATTTATGACCACCTGAAACGCTTCGACTCGCACTCTAGCACTGATGGAGTTCGGACCTCGCACGACAGAACGACGCAGCTTTGCTCCCCACTGCAGTGACGCACAGACCGGCGGCGCTCGGCGCGTCCCGCTGGGCCCCGCAGCGCTGCCTGCAGCCGCCCGGCTCGGCGGAGCTGCACCGCGGCGCACCTTTACTCTCTCAAACTACTTATTTTTTTTATTATTATTTTTTTTTGGTAATTTTATTACAGTATTAAAGTATTGCTTAGCTTACAGAATCTCCTCACGTAGTGTTCACACACAGAAATGGGTTCGACTTCGATTCTGTACGTATGAAACTCTACAGTGTACGTGCAGACCCCGGGCCCGCGGTGTGTCTTCGATGCATCCCGTCTTACACTGATCGACCCTCAGTTTTCTGTCGGAACTATTTTGCTTAAAAAACAAACCAAAACAAACACTAAAAAAAAAACAACAAACAGAATTCAAAAAATTCCACCCGAGAGACATTTCCATAGCGTAAAAGACAGCTACGAGTTAGTGTTCTGTTTGTTTTTGTAAACAGTTTCGTATGCAATATCATACGTAACCATGGCTGGCCTTCAGAGAAATGGAGGAAACGCTATTGCTTTATTCGGGGTTAGGCTGCGCTGAGCGGCAGAGCGGAACGCGGCGGTGGTGCAGCACGAGCCCTCATTCGCACCCACGATGGAAACAGCGTCGGAGGATTCGGAGCAGGGAGGGGGAAAAGAAACGCGAACACCTTTCAGGTCATACCAACAGCTACCCAATGGTTGACTACTCTAGCGAGATGTGTGACATTCACCAGCTGAATGAATGCTGCTGTACAATGGGAAAAGAAAATACAGCAAGAGAGCCATGCTACCTTAAAGTCCAAGCTACAAATTCAACTTAGAATGAACACCGATGAGTGTAAGAAACGAAAAAAGGGACAGATCAGGCTTCGCTGTAAGTGAGCCCATCGCAAACGACTTCTTCTGTTTTAGTGGGGAGAGGAACTGAACTGCTGGGGTTCTGCAGCTCCTGCTGCGCTCAGCCCCGGCCCACGGCTGCTCTGTGGGAGCTGGGAGCAGGCGGCCGCCAGGCGCTGCGCTGCACTGGAAGCGAGGCGTGCTGAGCCGCTGTGCCAGCAAGGGCACAGAACCCCCGGGTGAGGGAACGAGGGAACAAAGCCCCTTGGGAATGGACTCCGAGGTGAGCGGGGACTAACGGAGCCTCAGCATGGGGAGCCACATCGAGACGTACCGGGTTCCAAGACATTTGTGCTATGGGCCACTGGGACTTCTCAAAAGGTATATAAACATCTAAAACATATTCACACAGATTAGCAATTTCTTCTGAGCATTCTTAAAAAAATATGTTTTTTTTTCTCTTAGTAAAATCGTTTTAATATACCGTGCCTCCCTCTTTTAAAAAATAAATTAAAAAAATCCAGTTTTGCATATCTAGCGTTAGCATTTAAGGTAGTATGGCACATCCCCTCTCAAAGGGTGGGGATCTACAAAATGCCGTAAGAGTTTGCCAGCATTTTTAACATCGTGAGACCTTTGGTTAGTTGAAACCGCATCAGATCAGCAAAGGAAAAGAACAACAACAACAGAAAGAAAAATAATAGAAGAGGAAAGGAAGGAAAAGAAAGCAAACGAGGAAAACCTTCCCAAAATTATTAGCAAGTTTTTTTTTTTTTTTTCTTAAATAAGAGAAAGTTCTATCCTTACTGGTCCTAAATCTGAATAACTACATCTAAATTTTTAACCTTAATTACGATACACCTACCAATATGTACTAGAAGAGGAAGAGAGGAGGGGAAGATTCACTACACTAGCATCAGGACAGCACTCTTACAAGATAGCCATTTTATACACTATTAACATACAACAATGATCAACAAAGAATATTCTATGAGGTGACAGGGAATGGAGAGGAAAACCAACCGGTAGTACAGTACATCATCAACATTGACAAAATAGCCATAAAAAATCCCCTGACTGTACACTGAACCTCAGGGAATTTGGTTTGTTGCTTTTTTTTTTTTTTCATTTTTTTTTTTTAAAGAATGGTTTCATTTATGTATCACTTGATCAAGTCTCAGTATTTAAAAAGCGTCCAGCATCTTGCTTAAACCTGGTTGTTCGGAAATAAGAAAGAAAACCAACCGAAAACATTACACAAAAAAGCATGATTCTGTTCTCAAAAATAAGGAAAAACCCAAGGTTTTCTCCTTCTGGTTCGCAGTACGGTGCCTCACTTCCATTGCAGATGCCTTCTCTACCTTGTCTACTGAACGGCTACGTTATTCTACTCGTTAGTAAAATTTACAAAAATAGGAGTGCAGCAGCTCTTTTAACAAATGTCGCATTCAGTGTCTTATACTGGCTGTACCTAAAGTACCAAATTTATAAACGTAACAATTTAAAAAAATATTAATAAAACTCGTCAATATTACGTTAAAAAAAGAAGAAATATATCCACACTACAGTATGTTCTTAATGCCACCTACCGTGTTGTACTTCTAGTTGCTGTTGCAGGCCTATTTACCAATATTAAAAAAATTAAATTAAAAAATATCCTTCATAAGTTTCCTCCCCCAACAGAGGACCATATATATAACAGCCAAATATTAAACATGTGCAAATAGGAAACTGTCAGTTTTTCCCCTACCAGTCACAGTGCAATGATGTTTTATACTTTTCTTTTTTTTTTTTCTTTTTTTTTTTTTTAAATTCTGTTTACAACTACAATAAATTAAAATCTTCCGTTGCTTCTAGGGTGAAACTTGTAGCACTGAGGTATTCCCAAAAAAAAAAACAAAAAAAAAAAAACCAGACAAACCAAAGTCGCTTTCCTAATTTGTTAATAACACAGAAAGTGATGGATAACAAAGGTACCCATGCGAGCTCTGCGCCGCTCCGCCTGCGCTGGGAGCAGCAACGCGGAGCAGCTGTGTGCTTCGAACCTTAAATGCGATAAATAGGAAAACCGGAGCTTCTTTTTCAGTCTTGGGAAAAGCAGTTTTTAAATTAAAAAGACAACGAGGCCGTCACGGGGAAGCTGCGCACGTATGAGCAACAGGCAGAGCGCGGGGCGCAGCGCCAACCTCGAGGCCACACCTGCGCCGTGTCTTCTGTTTTAATAGAGAAACTGCCTTAGACTGACTCCATCACAAAAATAGTTTGTATTTCTCTTTCTGAATAGTTTATATGTACGTAATGGAATCGTATTTACAGTGTTTGGTTGTGTTTCTTTTTTTTTTTTTTTTTTTTGTTTGTTTTTTTTTCAGAATTCACGATTTCAAAAAACCTTATATCACCTCTTTCAACAAAAAAAAAGCACTTATAGAAAAAGGACGCCCAAAAGTCTGTCGTCCCTGCCTTATTGCCGAAAATAGAACCGGGTGAACGAAGACGGCACAAACAAAAGGAGGGGGGACGACCCGCGTGCTCCGCAGCCCCACGTCCTGCAATGACAGCAACTACAGAGACCGGGGGACACGGGGTGGGGGAGGGAAACAAAAGAAAACCTTAATATAAACAGCTAGGCTATGGTTAGGCTCCTACGAGATACACAAAGAATTAGGTCTACGTGGCTACGAGACTATGTCAAAACGCTACCAAAAAATGTGGGTCGAGTAGGTTTAAAAAGGGGGGGAAACCCTTTGAGAAAATAAAACGAACAAGAAATGGATTTTATATACATACTTTTAAAAGCTGTTGTTTTTATAGTACAGCAGATTCATGAGATGATGAGAGAGATTTTTTTAAACAGCCCAAGTCCGTCGAGTGCCACCTCCAGTTCGTTTGCTGTTGGTGAAGATGTAGTGCTGAAGTCTGACGATGTCACCTCACCGTGGGACCGCTCAGAAACTTCGCCCCGTTTTGCCCGGACATCCAGAGAGACTCTGCGAGGAGAGGAGCACACAGGACAGGGGAAGGGTCAGCTGGGGCTGTGCAAGTAGACCGCGCTTCAGGGACGTGAGGTGGCCAGCTTTTCCCCAAGGGGACAACGTCCTCCTGGGCGCTCTGCCGCACTCCGGGGCTACGTTCTAAGGGGAGGCGCAACGCCTGGCGCTGCGGCTGCTGCCCGCATTGAACGCTGTGTGCAGCCAGCAGGGCGATGAGCAGCGGGGGCTGCAGGCGGCCCTGGGCCACCCCGACTGCCCCAAGCGCCGCACGGCGTGAGGGATGCGCGCCCCGGGATCTTCAGACCTGGTGGCCCTGGAAGAGTTAATAGCAAGGCTCATTTCCTCCTCCCGAAATCTATTTTCATTAGTAACGAGCAACAGTAAAAGCACTCTCTGTTTTTAAGTCATTAATGGCTTGAGTTTTAATACTGGCCGGTAAATGATGGTTATAGTTTGATGTGCTGTGGTAAGTGTAAAATGATTACAATATATTAATCTGATGAGCACTGCCCTCACTGCAGCGTTATTAGTTTGAATTACGATGTTCTGCTCAAACCTCCCACGTGCTCAGGCTGGCGGCCCACAGAACACGATGGATCTGACAAATCAGCCCGAGAACACACAGGATACGTGCAGCCACTAACGGGGATTGAAGCAGGAGCGCATGGGCACCTCTTTCCTTTCCCACAACATAGCGCGTGGTGGACCGAATCCGTCCATCAAAGACTTTCAGATAATCTTGTATATATAGGGAGATGAAGAATAAATAGCAAACCCCTTTTTTTTTGCCAGTAGTTACCTATACGTTTATCTTTACACAGCTTAAAGCCCCTGCATGTGTTCCACAGGTCCCATCCCCAGCCTGCCTCCAGCCCTGATTGCACACTGAGATAGGGCAGCGCTGGGCTAAAGGCTAAGGAAGAAATGAAAGATGTCACATCGCATCTGTCTGCCTGGATCACGAGCTCTAACGGTGAATCCATGCACTCAGTGCGTACACCTTTCTGTTTCCATTGACTGACTTTCCTAATCTACGCTGCTCTCAGTGTAAGAATATTTGTTTGCTAAGATGGATATGCCAAAGGCCAAAAAATAACGAAAAAATTAAACATTTAATTAACTTGAGCTTAGTTCAAAGGGTAGGAAACTGGCAGCGATCCAAGGACGCATTACTTAGGTAATGTCTTTAATTTAATTTGCTTAGCTTTAATTTTTTTAAGATCTTGATAACTGCTCTGTGGTTACTACGTTATCTTCTAGCTGTGATATCTGGTACAGCCCTTGATTAAGCATGATGGTTTCTCTCTAATGAAGCAGTGGAGCTCATCCGTTTTCAGCTGGGTGCATTCGTAGCCAATCTCTACCCCCGACAACGATGCTGGCACTTGGCTGTTCCCCCAAAGGGCTTTGGGGATCACTGTTTATTTCTGCGGGGTTTTGAAGTCTCCAAATTAGTGTGCTAAGTGCACTGGGCCCGAGCTCCCGATCTGCCTTCCAGTTTCCAACCCATGAAATTGATTTAAATAAAATGAATCACAGAAAAGAATGATTAAAGGCCAAGGAAAGACAGAATGGAGATTAACAAAAAATTGTTCTCTTAAAGTAAATATAAGGGAAATGGCAGTTTAGCACGAAGTACAAATGGTATATACTGTAATACCTCCAAGTGAGATGGCAACCAACCATGTGTAACGTTTCAATGGTATCCATTTGTAAAAGCCGTTGCAATCAAAGGTCCCTAAAATTGTACAATTGTTAAGTTCATCAGTGTTCTATACATGGGAACAGATGATTATTAATCTTTGGCAAGAAATTATCAAAGGACTTGAAAGACTGTGTTGTCAGCATGAATATGGAATATGCATTTCCAAAAGCTGTTCTGGTCATTAATGACTCCGTGTGCTGAACTCTACAGGGTCCTTTCCAAGACCTTCTTGTTCCCTCAGATACAAAAACAAACTCTGGGTTTTCCCTTTTTTGTTTCTAAACCAGGTTAGTAAATGGAGTGTGTTAAATAAAGATATAGGTAAAAAGGGCTCCTGAGCCTTTGCAGTTACTGGAGTACACCCAGTATGAAGGGTATCCCCTTAACTAAGAGGCTGCCAATCTGAAAATCCAATCCTAACTGGCCTTTGAAGAAGTCTTAGTGCAGACAGATCACGACTGCATGGCCTTTATCGTGCATCTCACTGCTTGAAAGATTGAGATGTCACCGAGGTTAAACCACCCAAATTTTCCAAAACAAGTAAGTCTTCAGGTGGAAACTGGAAAGGGGGCCTCAGAAGGGGTAAGTCCGAATTGGTGTAGCCTTCTCTCAGCAGAATAATCATACTCTGTGTTCTGTACACAAACTGATCCAAAGAAGCTGCCACGTCCTCTGTGTGGCCACATGCACAGCAGGACCAGAGCGGACTGCAGAGCATGAGGGCTCTTGTGGAGGCAGCGGCTGCTGTGGCTCTTTGGATGCTGGCTGTTCATGCAGTACAAACAGCACCACTGCAGGAACTTTGTCTGCTCTGTGCTCCCGCTCCCCCAGCTCATCCAACGTGGTCAAAGAACAGAACTGTCATTTTAGTTTGGAAAACCTCAGGGGAGTTCTCTGTACTTTGACATGTTTATTTTATGAGAGGAGAAGATTTCTCAGCATTTTATGGAAAAAGGGAAAACAGTGTAGGTTGCTGGTTTTCTGTTTTGGAGACTGACAGCCACTAAAGCGGTTTAACCACATTCATGCTAACACACACAGGTAAAACAGTGCAATCTGAAAAACAGCATGCAGCTTTGTTAAGCAAATTTCCATCGCCCATAATTAGTGAGCCTGCAGAACCATGCAGCATGACAGAAATACGTTTCCAATGACTTGACAACACAACAGCAGTGACTTAGTTGTGACCTGCACGTTTTAAGGACCGTTAGCAACCCCCTAAGCTGCCTCACGGTGCCCCGATGAGGCGGCACCCACCTCCCATGCCCACATCCTCTGCTGCACACCGATGCCGGTAGGGCAGGGGCTGGAAGCTCCAAGCCCCCATGGCTCTGTGCCACTGCTGGGACACGGGCAGGCCTGGTGTCCCGGGAACCCTTCTCCTCCTCTGGGTGGGAGGAGAGGCCAGGCACACTGCCTGCAAGCAGCACACCGGCCTCAACGGGCCGTTCCACTGATGGGAAGCCCATCTAGACAAGCAGAAGCTTGTATCTGTTAAATAGGGCTGTTCAAAACACGCCACATTGGTGCAGCTAAGGCTCAGACAACTGTTTCCAGTCTGCACTGCAACTCCAGCGGCTCTGGGACAGCAGAGTGCAGGGCTGCGGGAAACCTCAGCACCTGCAGCAGTTGTGCCCAGCGCTGGAGGCTACAGGAGCCGTGCACAAAGCAGCCCGTCGTTCCGTCATCGAAAAAGACGCCAAACCCCATCGCGTCCCCTCCCGGCACGCGGTACTCACGGCGATCCCGTGGCTGAAGCCGGAGCCCGGCTGTGGGCTGGCAGCACTTATGTAGTTGCCGACGCCGGAGTCCTGGCTGGCCGTGCCGTACAGGTCTGCGACGGGCCCAGGGCTGTTGGCCCCAGGGAAGCCTCCGGGCCGGGCTGGGTTGGAGCCTGCCGGGGAAGCGGGTGCGCCAAAATTCGGTTGAGCACTGTAGCTATTCAAGACTGGTGTGCAGAGAATAAAGCTGGGTATGAGGCCAGACGCCGGGCATGCACCGTTATCACAAAGCCAAACACCAGAATAAACAGCCTAGGCCCAACTTCTAACACTTAACCAAGGCCATGCGATAGGAGAGCAAGTACTGAATAATAGTCAGCCCGTACTACTACGAAGCTTAGAGCTCCAAAATATATATATGAATATATATAAAAAAAAAAGAACGATCATTCAACACACTACTGCAACCAGAGACTGTAGGTGCTCATTTTTACCAAATTATCACAAAATATAATAGATATTTTTCAACATCTGACTTGATGCTCATGCAGTAGTAACAAGTTCTCTAGGTCTGGGCACGCCGAGACAGCATTCACATCCCATGCAAACTACAAAGGAACTAGTTTGAGACTACACATTGTGGTAATATTGATATTAAAATGTTGACAGCAAGTAACTTCAATCGCATCTAGTAAAATCATTTTGGATCCATTTGATACTTTGGAAAAAAACCTGCCCTTTTAAATTGGTAAGCTGTAGAAACAGCTCAATAGTTAATTTGTTTTTTTAATGGTATGGAATGGAACGGTTTGGGTTTGTTTTTTAGGTATGACCAAGGAGAGTATTGTTTTATTTAATTTGCCTTTCTTTAGATTTGGAGATCGAAGACCTACCTTCATCTCCAAAACCACGTTGGGGGGACATCAACCAAAATTAAACAAATAAATAAAGATTCAAAGCAAAAAAAGAATTCCAGAGGGTGTATGGCAACTCACCTCCTAATGTGGAAGTAAATTTTATTTTTTTCCTCCCTTCACTTTTTTTTTTTTTTTTTTTTGAGACAGAAAAACAATGTAAACAAGAATGATACTGAAGAACAGATTTAGATATTAAAGCATGTTAGATGATCAGGCTTCTGCCATTCCTCACTGTTGTTCTTGGATGTGAAGTTTATGAGTAAGAGGATTTAATGTGAAAGAAAAGTCAGCGGCAGGGAGAGCGGATGGGGATGGCGCTGGAAGCGGGAGAGTCCTGCAACACGACCTGCCAACACGGCCCTGCTGACACAGCACTGCCAACGGAGCACTGCCTACATGCTGCTGCTGACCTGGCACCGCAGCCTGACTGACCACACTCTCGCAGCTCAGCCCTGGACACCAAAACGGCCCTTAAGGATGCCCTGAATGCAGGCTCTGACCAGCCACAACAACCACACGGCCACAGCATCACCACAACCTCCCTGGAGCTGTGCAACGGGCACCGCTGGCAACTCACATCACCTCTGTGCTCAGCCTGCACCACGACTCCCTCAGCCTCCTCCTCCAACTGCAGCTCCCTGCCTACCTCCGCCGTGCACCTGAAGAGCTTACAGACAGCCTGCAGTAAGCCCTGCCACCAGCCTGCAGGTCAACACAGCAGGGTTTATTGGGGACAAACAGCACTGCAGGGCAAGTCCCGCCTGCCCCGCAGGAGCGGCCCACAGCAAGGCTCCCGAGAGGCAAACCGGGCTGCAGGCTGACTGCAAACTGCAGCAGCACACAGCAGTGAGAAACTGGGGCAACGCGCCGTGCTGCTGCGGTTCCATGACCGTCCCCACCGCGCTGACGGCACGCGTTCCTCAACCCAAAGGATTAACCAGTCAAAAACACGGCAACCGTTGGCTCTGCAATGACAGGGAAGTAAATGTTGCAAAGTAAATGGTTTTATGTGGCTGTAAAGTGGTAGCAGGGGAAAGTAAGTAGGTCATCTAAGCCGGCAAGTTAAAAGTAATAAGGCATGAGAGAGTAAACAGATTATTTTGGAATTCACTGGCAAACAAAGTACCTTTTTTATTATTAAAGATTAAATGTCAAGATAGCATTTGGCCTTCTCACTTGTGAAGAAAAATATCCAGCTGAGATGTTCAAAAGCCCTTTATTACTATAAGCCAGTGCTTTTTTCCTCTCCTTTTCTTCCTTCTGGTTGAACAAAATGGATGTGGGTGTTTCAGCCCCGTGCAGCGCTCTGCAGGCAGGCCGTGCTGGCTGGGACATGGGGAACGTTCACAGAATCACAGAATGGCCAGGGTTGGAAGGGACCTCAAGGATCAGGAATCTCCAACCCCCTGCCACATGCAGGGCCACCAACCTCCCCATTTAATACCAGCCCAGGCTGCCCAGGGTCCCATCCAATCTGGCCTTAACGTTCTTTAACACGTCCTTCAGAGATGGAGGGTGCCAAAGCACAGAGCATGAGTACAGCTGCAGACAGCCATGGCATGAGGCACAAGGGGTGAGCAGGGCTCTGCATGGAGGCCACGTGCTGCCCCCAGCCCTGCAGTGTGGCCCTGCACCTTGCACAGCTGCCTTCCTGCAGCGTGTGGCTTGCTGGGAAAAAGTGCAAATCACACCAATAAGAAGACATGGTCCCCAAATCACACAGCTCTCATCTAGAGGTGCACGGAGCATTTCATTAAAAATCAAAGTTGGGGTGCAAGGCCATATTCATCTCTGACGCAGCCCACTGATGGCAATGGCATGTCGGGGCTGGCACGAACATGCCTGTAGAATGCCTCAACATTTAATTTTGAGATACAGTGATCAAATATTACACCATTTCAAAATGGCATTGAGCAGAGGTTGGGCTGGCAGTGGGGCACCCAGCAGCAGCTATGTGACACAAAGGCTGCCCTTGCTTTGCACCACAGCAAGTGGGACTCATGCACTGCAGCCAGCCCCAGTGAGACGCATGGAGTAAGGCTGCTGGGGTGCTGCGAGTCGAATGTCCTACGAATGAACACCTCTGTGGCTTCTGCAGCTGCAGGATGAGGAGCTGAGCTAGCCCCTGAACCAAGTGCGAGTGGGGCAGCGGATCAGACGCGCGCGCACACACACACACACACACACACACACACTGCAGCACCTCTGCATCATTAAGCCACAGTTACGAGTCCATGCACAGATAATAAGATGTACTCAGCCTGTCCCAAAATCTTACTGAAAGCAAGCCAAGCAGCGAGGAGCCAGAAAGAGATGCTCCATCCCCCAAAGCAGCCCAGCCCCAGCCATTTACAGCTCTAAGAAATTCAGGAATACCAGCCTGCATACGTGCGGAAGGAGTTGGCAGCTGTTTATTCAACATCCTTCTGATTGTAGGTATGCAACATAAGAAAAAGGCAATTTTCTATCTCCTGAGCATCAATTTGGTACTACATCCTGATGATCACAGAAGTGGCTGCAGACAAACGTGTGACACAAAAGCACGCCCTCCGCTCCGCTCGCACAGCTCCGTGGGCGCAGGGTGCCCAGGCAGCACTTTGTGCACCGCCTGCTAACAGCTGTTTGCAGAACTTCACAGAAAGGGTTGGAAGCTTTTACAGAGCTGACACTTTGCTCCAGACCCGATAAATGAAAGAGAAAAGCTCTCATAATTACCAGGAGACTAAACAGTCCTGAGAAAGCCGTACTTTAACGATTCACTCAGCCATGGTGAGTTGCTAAATATTTGTCTTCTTACAATAGCTGCACTGAAGCGCACCTAGAGCTGGAGGCAGTTTTATGATCGCTTTGAAACAACTGCAAAGGGACCTTGAATGACTTTCCCAACATGCAGAATGCAGTGCGTTTGGGTAAGAAATGCCTGAAAAGAAATCTGTTGTACACAAACCTGCAAGTAATCTGAGACTGAAATGAAGCAGAAAACAAAACACAAAACTCTCCTGACTCTGGATGCCATTTCAGCCCTCAAAAAAAAAATTAAGACTGTGGGAGATGGACAAAGCTGTCAGCTGTAGGACAAAGCTGTCAGCTCACAGCAGAAGCCATCCGAGAGCTGCAGGTGCTGTTGGGTGCAGAGGCACAGAGCACTGAGATTAAAGCACCGCGGCCTGCAAAGCACCTGAGACATTCCCCTGGTCAGACATCCTGCAGACAGAGCTGGAAATAACCACGGGTGGATGTTGGGAAGTGCACTGCTGGCAAACTGGCAGGGATTGTGCTGTGCTGGAGGAGAGCAGCGAGCTGCAGATCGCTCTGGTCAGTGCTGGAGCAGAGCCCTCCTGCTTTCCTGTGGGTCCCAGCGGGCGATGCCCTTCCATCTCAAGCACTCGGGAAGCCGTGGCAGACACTGCACCTGTTTCCAGGATCGGAATTGAGCTCCAATTTATCAACTGATTGCACAGGGAACCATCCTGCACTGGATGTTTTCACAGCCCTGAAACTGTGACTTGGTACCTCCAACATAACGGTTTCCACTACGCATGATTTTCAGCCCCAGGTGTCACCACAAAGCCCTGCATCAGATCGATGTGGAAGGGATGTGAAAAAGATGAGATCTGTCTGTAAGTCACAGCTAACCATCCTCAACGTTCCCCAAGCCCAGACAGCCCCATCCTCTTGGTTGGGGAAGCTCTTCCTACACCTAAGAAAAAAAGTGACAGCAGCTGAGTGATGAGAACAGGGACACTTCCTGCAGCGTTTCCTTCCCTTAGAATTTGCTGTGCTTTTCCTTACAGAGAAGACACCGATCCTTGCACACTCACTGCACTCACTCCCTGAGTACTGCTCTGAGCAGAGAACCTTCCGCTAAAATAAATGTCAAATTGCAGCTAATTTTAAAATGCATCTGTAACCTCAAGACAGCACTACACTGAGCAAGGTTCTTCGACTACTAACTCACCTCGGCATCCTTCTGCAGAGCTCTCTGCACACACTGAATGCATGTGAGGCACTTCTCAACACACTATTCCAGCAGAGAGCTGCATGTGGGGTACAGAGCAGAGCTGCAGGGAGCAGGTGGAGCTCCAGGAGCTCGCTTATCGAGCACCCGTTCCTGCAAACTGCTGTGTTAGCACAGACCTGATTGTACATTAATCCACATGCAACAGGAAAGGTCACCACTGAAAGATAAACTCTCTTCTGATGAACTCTTGAGAAATTTCTAAGTCAGGATTCATTATGACATTTGCCTTAGCAAGCTGTGCATTGCACTAACAAGGATTCAGATGCCTCTCTGGGAGGGGAGACGGAAACAGATGGGTAAAGCACAGCAAGCTGGATGCTAAAATCCCACCCAAATAAACTCAAGTCAGTGAAGGTAAAGAGAGAGAGAAAGGGTTCAGTAATCACTGCTGTGCTTGTTTTACAATTATTCTACAAAGATTTCAAAAGTTGAAGAAAAAGCAACGCGAAGAACAGCGCACAACCCGTGGCTGCACTCCCTACTACTACACAGGCAGAAGGGAAACCTCAACTTTGCAAGAAACCACCCATGATTTACTGCATTTCCTCCTCAAGAAGAGGCAGAATACTTCAGGATGAAATACAGCACCCTGTCATCGCAGCCAGAAATGCATCTCCTCATGGAGAGAGCAGCCGAGCACTGCCTGCAGCCGCTCCTTGCCCACAGCCATCCCCATGGCCGTCCCCTCCTGCAGGCACCAGAGCAAAGCGGCCGGCACCATCAGCAAGCAGAGGCAGCACTCCTGAGGACTGCCCAATGACAACCAACCACCTCCCGGGGAGGGCTCATATTCCCTGGGACACAATCAGTGCTGCTGAGCTGATCTGCTTCTGGCATTGCTGGAAGCAGAGTTTGGCCACAGGCCCTGGTGGAGGTGCTGCTCAGAGTGGGTGATGCTGCTGAACAGAGCACAAAGAGCAAAGCTACACGTGTAAAAAAAAAAAAAAAGAGAGAAGAGTGAAATATTCCCCTAGAAACACATCCTCATTTACAAAGCACGCACCTGCTCATGTTTCCAAGAGAAGCAAACACAAGAGGCTCCACACAAGGAATAACACAAAGAAGCAAGCCAAGTGGAAGCGGCCATTCAGCCCCTGCCCGCAGTTCTCCCTGCGCCCGGCGCAGAGCCACAGCACGCTGCTCCTCCGCGCCCCGACGGAGCCCTTCTGTACCAACATGCTTCTGACAACTTGTTGATCCAGAGCTCTAATTTCTGCATGACTCTCTCATCTGCCATAAACAGCCACGCGCAATTTGGCAGGCATTTCTACCACCAATGTTTATGATAATAACTCCACGTGCTTGAAAGCAGCAGGAAATTTTCAATGTAACTATCATTAAGACAAAATGCTTTAAATCAAAGCCATTACCCACTACCAAGACTCAAAGCTCACAAGATTAGGCTGTTTTTATCTTTATGAAAAATTCATCTAGTGTGCTGCAAACATCAGCTTCCAGCTTGAAGGAGGAAACAATAGGGTAACATTTAGCATGGTGATGGAACGGCTATGGATCCGGGCAGGGAACGGGCCAGGGGGACAGCTGGGACAGCAACAACCCCATGCTTGGGGCATTTGATTCAGCTCACCCAGGATTTAATTTGATTCATGGCAGTTCAGAGGATCTGCCTGGATTTTTGCAGAAGGAACAGCACCTGTAGCTAAGGAGTAGTTAGATCTAATTCCATGAGATATCACGGTAACTACAGGCAGCCATGTGGAGCAAAGGATGCTTTCAGCTACTTCCTTAAACCTCTCTGACACTGTGCTGCAGTACCTGGAAGTTGGGAATTTCCCCAAGAGGCACCCAAGCATTCAAACCTGCTGCACTGACTTTGAAAGAACCAAGTACAAATGCTGCAGAGGACACCACTAAAAACCAGGGCTACTGGTGCAGCACAGATTGCTTCCCTCCTGATTTCTCAGGCATCCCATGTGTCCTGAAGCATGAACACCAATGACCACATCTTTGTGCATGACTAATGGACCAGCAGGCACAGTGTGATGCTGATACTTTAAGTAACAGCCACAGGATGGGGCGCAGAGCAACTCCTGCACTGCATGCAAAGCTCAATCATTAGTGCTGAGAGCCTCACAAGTACCCTACCGGTAGCCAGCACTGCACCCACCTCAAGGAGA